TTGGAACAGCAAACAAGATTGGGCAGGAAAACAAATGTAAAGAAACACCAAAGACTACAGTTGAAGAGTCTGGACACTACTACAAAGCAGTAAGCAATGACACTTACGTCGTAAGTTTCGAGAAACTGGCTTGAATACGTTTTTGAACATTTGTGGATCTTTCCTTCTTCTGTGCCTGGTGATGAAAGAAAAAGGAAAGACAATAAGGTGAACAAGTAGACAAGGAAAGATCCAATAAATGAATGAATGAATGAATAAAATACATAACGATTTGAAGGTAGCACATCCCCTCTGTGGTCCTTCGTCTACCTGATTGCTGGTCGAATTGGAATTTGGAAATGTTGGTTTATCAGGAGAGGGAAAACCGGAGAACCCGGAGAAAAACCTCTCGGAGCAAGGGAGAGAACCAACAACAAACTCAACCCACATATGGCGTTGACACTGGGATTTGAAGCCCGGGCCACATTGGTGGGAGGAGAGTGCTCTCACCACTGCGCCACACTTGCTCCCCCAAAATGGTAAAAATGTTGACACCAAAACTAACAATTAGAAAGACAGTTAGTAATACTAAGACAGGTCTGTATGAAAATGGTATCAACTTACCGACTAGAAACATATAGTCCATTGTTTTATGAAAATCAAATGCAGTGCCACACCCTGTAAATACAAACAAGTTTACTTCTTACTTTTGTCATGCAGAATTTTAATTATAGGGACGTAATCCGATGGATTTCCAATTTGGTTGAGGCGACTGAGCATCTTTTAAACGTATGTTCCTGTTTTGACAATAAAGACGTGCATAAAGATTTCTTTACGATTTTGAACTTAGCTAGAAACATCAGGCTAACAGAAAGCAGCGAGACATGATAATACGAGGTGAAAAATAGGGGGAGTCGCCTGGTGAGAGGGGCTTCCTCACACCCACCCCCAAAGTAGGCAAAAAATGGTCCCTTGGCCCTTTCCCCCACGCCACACCCATCAAATAAAGGACTAACGGGGGGGACAAACTTGACGCGTGGGAAACTTTTTACATATTCTAACACTTTGTTCAACTAATCATTTACTTTTTCTTTTTATAATTTTGTATTACGAACCTCAAAATCAAAGAACATGTAACCGAATCCAAACATGTAACAAACATTACGGCAGCTAAAATTCACCTAAAGTAACAACTCAGCAGATAAAATACCTAGGCTTGGAAGTTGTGTATTTTCCCCTTCTTCAGTGGCATTCCCCTGCTTCAAGGTAATGATATCTGTATATCTTAACTCACTCTAAAGAAAAAGAAGCGACTCAAAGTTATTGAGAAATGTTTCCTTTGTGCGCCTTTTACGCAAACTGCACATTTTCTCAGACTATCAGCTCAAAACGTCGGTAATTGTCGAGCTTTATATTAAACGAAGAGAAAAAAATCGAGACCGAGAATCATTTTTACACTTTCTGTTCCATTTGAGAAAACGTTTCATTAAATCTTACGGCAATATCTTTAACATAGAACGTAAACTGAAACAGCTGTACGCGTGCAACTGGCGGCAAAAATAACGCCCACGTGGCAATCAACGCCAACTGGGCTTCTGTGGAAAGTCATGCTTGGTTGAACCTCAGAACTCAAAGCGTACATTTATTTACCTTCACGATCGTCCATTGGCTTATTCTACCATCAGAGGACACCGAGAAGAAATTCATGTTGTTATCAAGGTCATCTTTTTGCCATTTTACCTGTAACAAAACAGAGACAAAAGATTTAAAGAGTCAAGTGGAAAATCAGACACCTCTGAACTTTTTTTTACAAGTAAAAAGCTTTTTTCTCATTCTGAGGTAATAAACAAACTCGACCGTGATTACTCGTTTTGATAAGCTGACCACCCTTGGCAGTTGTTCGTCTATTCTTGCCGTTTCAACAGTGTAGGTAATAAGTCCATGACTGTGAACTAAAATACTTGTCAAAAATCTAGAAACACTTGTGTGTCGTTTTCCCTTCCCCAGAGTTGATTTGGGTATTACAGTGGCTCAACATTACGGAAGGAGAGGGGCAGATTTGACTGGGAACAATGGTGCGAAGAATGAATGTAGGAAATTTTCAAGAAAATTCAAGAGAAAGGGTGTCTGTTTCAACGATTTGTGAATAGTATTGTTGCATACAGTAGAGGCTTAATTCGAAAAATTATTTCCCCGTAATAGCCTCAAACGAAAGTAAGTTCCAGGGGGTATTAAACTGAGATGATTCTGGGAGTATCAAGATGAAACAAGGTTGTTGTGATTTCAATCTGCTGTCTTACCTGCCAGACTGGGTCTGTGTGTTTTCCAGTTTTTGCTGTGGACTGGTACATGAGCTCGATCTTATTTGCTGGTGTAACAACTGAGTACACCCCAACACTCCCTACAAGAGGCAAAAAACAATTATGCTTTATCAATATTTATTCCATGTGAGTGCGTTACTGTAGACGGAATGAGACTGATGCTAAAATTTCCTGCTGCATCTTTTACGATTATCAATATATTCGTCCATAAAGGAGGTCTGGACCCTTATCACGAGATTGGAGTACTGCATCGAGAACGAATTAACGCTGAACCTGTAACGAACTGAAAGAATATCTCCCTGACATTTATTTCAGAATTTCCTCGTGACCGAGGAAAAAGTTAGTTTTTCCCTGACTTTTCCCTGTCCGTGGTACCCCTCGTTTGCGATCTAAAGTGTCCCTACTACCGTGTTGCTGTTGATTTACCTTTTTTTCAAAAGCGAGATCTCAAGCAGACTATTCAGGTAAACAAAACGTTAGAAACACTTAAGAAATCTTACTGTTATTGCTATCACATACCATCGTAAAAACCAGCTGCGATGAAATTCGGATGCTCGGGATGAAAATCCAAACACATTACTCCGCTCTCCGTTTCACAGACGTACCTGGCACATGACAAAGTGAATGAAGTACTTAATACTCATAAAATACTGTAAAATCCCGCTTTTACACACAGGACTGAAACAAGTCCGTAAGAATTAGAAGGTGGGAAGGTGGGGGGAGGGAGGGTGGGCACGGTGGCTGCTAAAGGATAACCTACGGGAAAAGCCCCTGGGTATGAGGTGTTAGGTTTGGAGTTCTCCCCCGCCCCAGCCCTGTAAGCAGCGCAACACTCAGAACTTGAAAAAATAAAGGTGCAACAGATGCTTAAAACCAGGAAAACTTTAGACTCTATCCTTTTCAAGGGCAGTAAAATGAATGTAGGATTAACTCTGGTTGGTCGTCACAACTTTCTGATTTGATTTCAGTTATACCTCGAGAAAGGAAGCCACAACTTCTTCTGATGCTAAGAAATTATTACCCTCAGATCACGAAAGCTACATACAGAAGGCTTTATACTCACTCGGGAGACGAAGGATTCTTCAAGGTGTACATGGTAAGCATTCCATTACTTTGCTTTAAAAAGTCATCTAACAACAAAAAAAAACATCTTTTTCAGTGAAGCCTGTCAAGTCTCACGCACGCAGGGCGAAAGAATCGTCTCAGGCTTAACAAACGCGAGACGCCTGAAGGAAAGAACGCTCTAAAATTCATATAGTAAGTCGTAAAGAACGTTTCCCAATTGTTTCGGGTTTGACCTTTATAATTCTAATTTTAAAAAAATCAAATCTCTACATGACAAGAAATACAAAGTTCCATGTGAAAGTGCTGCTAAGTTTGTTCTTTTTTTTAAAAAAATGGCAAAACAATAAGATTTCATTCACAGAATATCAGTTTAAAACTACACATTGCCAGTGTCTATGATTTACTCCAGACGTGAAAAGATAAATTAGGGGGGAAACCTCTTAGCCGCCCCTCTCTTTCTTCCATCTTAGATGAAAAGCCTGGTCTTAACTGCGAAACGGGTTTAATGTGATAAATGAGATAAGGCTCAATACATTGCAGGTCAAGTGCAATGTTTTGAAAGCCACTGAACACTTCTAAACTTACATGATCCATGTCCCACTCCGAACAAGTCAACGTATTTTGGACTCCTACAAAGAAAAAACAAACAGGTGCAAAATTTGAATGAAAGGAGAAGAAGGCATCAAGGGAAAAACTATTTTCTTGAGAAAAAAAGGGAAGAAAGCATAAAACCAAATAAAAAATGAAAAAAACCAAATACACCAAATGTCGGCAAACAATGCTGGGATGTATGACTACATCTGACAAAAGTTAAATATTATATTGAGACATAAAGGTAAAATAAATTATCACCCAGCAAATAATGGCCAGTAAGTTTGGAAAGATGAGCTGAGTTTCTGACATTGCCATGCCACAAATGTTGGTCAAATATGTTGCCGCTTTTAGTCGTGGGTCAAGTATCGCCACCAAACAAATACTGGTCATTGGTCAATAAATGTTGATATATCACGCCGTAGTTTCAACAATGCCATCTAGCAAACGGTTACCAGAAACAATGAGATATTCAGCCGCATCTTCGACACTACTATCCAACAAAATAATTATGTTTACAAACAATGATTGGAGGATAAGCGATGTCCCTAGTCCTGGGTTGCCACAGAGTTAATGTCGGTGAAAAATGTTAAAACGTCCTACGCCCCTCTAGACTTTCTCAAAGCCTTCGCGTTTGTCCCACGCACTTCGTTCGCTGGCTTTGTCCGGTCAACTCGAGGGCGAGTCACCACTTGTCTTACATTATCAACTAACAGTTCACATACCAAGAGAGTGATGTGACTGCCATTCTCTTGGACTTTTCATAGGAGAATTTCCACAGAGGTAATAGAGTACCCTCCTGGTCTTTATACTCGTCCGCTGCATCCTCCCAGTACTTGAAATCTATACACAATTTCACAACAACAAACTAAAATTTCAACACGTCACTAGCAAGAGGGAACAAAACAATCTGTGGATTAAAGCAATTAATAAACACGGATTTGTGAGGGAAACAATTTTTTGTCAGTGGAAACGTTCACGACGTTTCACAAGTATTTGAGAGAAAAGCAAAAAGGTTGATGGAATTGGATGGAGTTTGAAGTAATAGATCAATATACAGTGGAAGCCAACTTTTGAAAAGAAACCCACGAGTTCGACGTCTTGCTGTGTTTTATCTAGATTGCCTCTGTAAATGGATAGACTTTGCTTGGCTGTACTTCTTTTCCCCTCAGTGATATTAAACAAGCCTGTTCCATGTCGTCGGTTAGTCCGGACGAGCAAAAGGAAAAGCGACTGTTGAATTACAAAAAAGGCGGAAGGAAAATAGGGAGGGAGTGATTGCTTTTTTCTTTTACACGCGCTCGCTTGTCTTTTCAGGCCTGCATGTTTGTCTGTCCCGACAAACTGAGAGCCAACAGCATAAAAAAATTAGTAAAAATGGTAACAAATACCTTGTGCAATATCATCATATGTGTTTTGATTCACCATTCTCTCCACTATCTTGCATGGTTTGGAGATTCGTGAGATATCATCACCCTTGAAGTACAAGGACAACATCATCACTAATTAAACAGAGGCAACAGTTTTTCTCACTACCTTTACCAAAGCCTTAAACTAGGAAATGCGTCCGCGCTATCGTCTTCTCCATAAACCTTAACAGCAAATTTTCCAGGAAATGTGCTCGTCGAACAAAGCCTAATAGAAAACCCACACCCTCACGCGGGGCATTAACGGTTCTGTTGAATTGTCCATTTCGAAGGAAAATGGCACTTTTGGTGTCAAAACTCTGGACAAACTGGGTGGTACACTCAACTCTCTCTACGACGGAAACTATCCTAGTCCACCTTACAGAGAGTCACGCAAAAAGGCTTAAGAAAAATATGGATCAACTCAGCTAGGTGACCGTTGTAGGGAGAAGGGAGATGTCCGTTTTTTGGAGGCGCCCACACTTTCCTCTACGAGAATTGACTGTAACGCAACCTCTGAGAACAAAATAAATAATTGCTTAGTGTGGTAAGGTTCTCATACCAGTAACAGATAGTAACTAACCTGTACTTCAGATTGCATTAGTTTCTTCTTTTTATCCTCGTCCTTCTTAAATGTTTGCGTCTTCCTACTTTCTTTTTCTTTAATTTTCTCCTGAAAGATCGCAAGGTGTTCAGGTAAACAGAGAAGTAACCAAAGAAATCAAAGAAACTGAAGGTGGAAATTAGGTACCGATTTGCAAACTATATGCTAGATATTCGTTGTTGTTATAGGATATCGCATCTGAATGCAAGAAAAACAGTTCATCAAAACAAAAACAACTATCAAGTCTAACCTGTTTTTGTAGGTCTTCGACATAAGCATCATAAATTTCCCACTGTTTAAGAAAAAAAAACAAGGTAAGATATAAAATTAGAACTCACTTCTACTTTAAAAAACAAAACAAAACAAAACAAAACAAAAAAACAGAAAAAGCCGAGAGGAAACCAGTACAAAGTGCAAAACGAAAAACTATGAATGCATGCAAAAACGAAAATGAAATGGAAAAGAATCTAAAAAATATTGGGAAGTCTTCCTTCGCATAATTCAGTCCTATATCAGGGTAAGCTAGAGACGTTTCCTCTAAAGATTATCAAGGAAAACGTAAAATACCGGTCATAAGCCCCCCTGTCCTAGACTACGAGCAGTCTCTCTTTCTTCTTGGACCGTCGAGCACAACGCGCGACACACGCAATTGACCATGCGCGTGCCGCCCTCGTTTCTCGCGTTTCGCGGCTTCGCCGCTCGACGCTCGCGCGCGCGTGCACTGCCCTTTCTAATTCCGAAGAAAAAGCGAGACTGCTCGTAGTGTACCCTTTCCCTATCTATCTCTAACCAAATTTTTATAGTATGATTTCCGCTTATAACTTGACACCCCGGAGGCCCCTCTACATATATTCACACAGTGTAAAATATATCTTGTTTTAAGGTATAAAGCAATCAACACCTGGGTCATCCAAACCTACCTGGTTAGCAGTGGCCGAGAAATTTGCTCTTGGTGGAGGTTCAGTCGACGTACCACGTTCCTGAAATAAAATATTACAGTTATCAAAAAACCGGTAATTTCAATTTTTATCATCAGACTAGCCTGCGTCGCAGACGCTCTAAACTTTCTGTACAAATGGTTTAGACGACTGCGTGGGCCGGCTGCAACGCAGGCTATCATCAGGCATGTCTTCACTGTCTATTAATTCAGGCCAGAGACAAGAACTGAGTCTTCCAAAAGCTCACTTGGTATTTAAGACTGACACCGTTTCCGTGTGCGGGTACGGGTCATTTAGCTGTACGTGTAGCAGTAAATACGGGTAGATTGCCTCTTACCTGGGGGAAACGCGTAGGCTTCCGGGTAGAACGGTGATGCCATTTTCAAATCTGAGAAATCATAGTCACCCTTTATATAACTACGTGACAAAAATCTTCGTCTGTCCGTACCCGTCGGCAAAAACCGGTCGCGGATCCACACCGGTTTCCATCGTTTTACGGAAATCGGCTAGATTTTTCACAATAGATATATTTTTAATAAATAAAAACTTTCCAAGTTGTAAGGCTTCATCCAAGGTGAATAGAACTGGCCAATATCCTGTCTGAAAACCTCGGAAACCCAGAAAAGGGGACTTTAGGGAGTTAAAATCTAAAACCTTTTCTTCAAGGGGGGCATGCCCCCGGACCCCCCAGAAGCTTGAGTCTTCGGCGCTCGTTTAGGAAATCGGTCAGATCCGCGCCTGGAAACGGTGTATCTTAAGGTCGCTATTATTGTAACACGTACTCTGTAAGGATTGTTGTAAGTCTGAGATGCTCTTTCACTGAAGTTAAACTGGTTTGTTAACTTGGATTCAGCTTTTCCTCCAACAGAAGCAGATGAGTCCGGTCGAACTTCTTCTGCCGCTTTCTCCTGAAACAGAATAGAGCCGAACCCTCAATAAACGACCATTAAAAAGGCTGAGTTTTACTTATCACTTACGAGAGATGCAATGGTCTCTTACTGTTTGCTGAAGTTAAAATCACTATTTTCATTTGCTTCGTACAATAATTTGGGGCAAAAATGTCCAAATTTGGTTTTTTGATCATTTTTCCTAGAAGGGGGTGCTTAATTCTTGCACGTGACTTGTTTTAGAGGAGAAGTATTAATTTTGTTTCAATAGTTTGCAATTCATTTCGAAGAAAAATATGGACGACACGGATCAGTGATTTCTTGTGGCGCTGCGCATAGTTCAATAGTGTAATCTTAAGGTGTGGATATTCAAATGAACACTGATTTGTGCTACCATTTCTTTTGCAGCATTTATCTCAAGATTCAATTTTGGGATAGCATGCTCATGGTCAATGACTTCCTTATTCAAATTTTTTAACCAATTAAAGAGTTAATTTAGCCTGAGAAAACGGCCGATATTTCGCGATACCACCACTGGTTTAATGACGACATGACGTATTAGGAACGAGCGCAGAATTTCCATACTGACGATGCGTCACTCCCAGATCTGAGAAGTGCTTCTGACAGTGAAAACTTGGATGACAGTGAAAACTTGAATGACCCATGCATTATATACATACAGGTAGTAATTACGACACCTGAAGGAGAATCATGAGGAAGATCACTCTTTAAATAGCCTGGAACAGGCTTCGCAGTAGGGAAAAACGACAAAAAATGGGGTCCACCTTTTCCCCTCCCCAGACTACCTCGCGCCTCGCTTCGCTTGCCGATTTTTTTTTTTCACCCGCGCCGATTTTCTTCTCCTTTTTTCCCCAATGCGGAGCCTGGTCCCGGACTATTAAACGATAACCCACCCAGCCCAGGAAAGGTTGGCCACACCACCGGGGTCTATGTCCCCTACTCTTTTCAAACAATGGTGTGGGTTATTACCACCCCACAAGAACCATATATTAAGTAAAAGAGTGAAAGTGCTGTGAGACGGGACCTATGATTTCCCTCCCTATTTGAAAAGACTAGAAAGTCTAACTGTTTCTAGATGTCATTACAAAGGCAGCAATTTCTTTTCAGTTATTTAAAGACCCAAAGTGTTGGTCCGGCAGGGATTTGAACACTCGACCTGAGCTAGACAGGCAGCAGTTCATATCAATATGGTCACATTAACAGGGTTTTAACTGTACTCCTTACACTGTAAGTAAATAAATCATCTGCGTAGTCTCCATACCCCAACATACATAAAAATAACACCTCACCTCGCCTGCAGGTTCTGGTTTATTTTCTTTCTCTTCCTCATCAGCAGCTTCATTAGCATCATTTTCAGCTAGAGACAAAGACAAAGCAGCATAGTTATGTACCACACTCCACTACATTGAGAATTCTTTGGGATAAGTTGGGGTTTAATCAACGATAATGGGTTACTTAAAGTAGCGGCAGAATGTGTTTTCATCCCGGGGGGGGGGGAGGGGTACTTGGGTTACTTTTTGCTGGGTATAAACAGATAGTAACTAACCTGTACTTCAGATTGCATTAGTTTCTTCTTTTTATCCTCGTCCTTCTTAAATGTTTGCGTCTTCCTACTTTCTTTTTCTTTAATTTTCTCCTGAAAGATCGCAAGGTGTTCAGGTAAACAGAGAAGTAACCAAAGAAATCAAAGAAACTGAAGGTGGAAATTAGGTACCGATTTGCAAACTATATGCTAGATATTCGTTGTTGTTATAGGATATCGCATCTGAATGCAAGAAAAACAGTTCATCAAAACAAAAACAACTATCAAGTCTAACCTGTTTTTGTAGGTCTTCGACATAAGCATCATAAATTTCCCACTGTTTAAGAAAAAAAAACAAGGTAAGATATAAAATTAGAACTCACTTCTACTTTAAAAAACAAAACAAAACAAAACAAAACAAAAAAACAGAAAAAGCCGAGAGGAAACCAGTACAAAGTGCAAAACGAAAAACTATGAATGCATGCAAAAACGAAAATGAAATGGAAAAGAATCTAAAAAATATTGGGAAGTCTTCCTTCGCATAATTCAGTCCTATATCAGGGTAAGCTAGAGACGTTTCCTCTAAAGATTATCAAGGAAAACGTAAAATACCGGTCATAAGCCCCCCTGTCCTAGACTACGAGCAGTCTCTCTTTCTTCTTGGACCGTCGAGCACAACGCGCGACACACGCAATTGACCATGCGCGTGCCGCCCTCGTTTCTCGCGTTTCGCGGCTTCGCCGCTCGACGCTCGCGCGCGCGTGCACTGCCCTTTCTAATTCCGAAGAAAAAGCGAGACTGCTCGTAGTGTACCCTTTCCCTATCTATCTCTAACCAAATTTTTATAGTATGATTTCCGCTTATAACTTGACACCCCGGAGGCCCCTCTACATATATTCACACAGTGTAAAATATATCTTGTTTTAAGGTATAAAGCAATCAACACCTGGGTCATCCAAACCTACCTGGTTAGCAGTGGCCGAGAAATTTGCTCTTGGTGGAGGTTCAGTCGACGTACCACGTTCCTGAAATAAAATATTACAGTTATCAAAAAACCGGTAATTTCAATTTTTATCATCAGACTAGCCTGCGTCGCAGACGCTCTAAACTTTCTGTACAAATGGTTTAGACGACTGCGTGGGCCGGCTGCAACGCAGGCTATCATCAGGCATGTCTTCACTGTCTATTAATTCAGGCCAGAGACAAGAACTGAGTCTTCCAAAAGCTCACTTGGTATTTAAGACTGACACCGTTTCCGTGTGCGGGTACGGGTCATTTAGCTGTACGTGTAGCAGTAAATACGGGTAGATTGCCTCTTACCTGGGGGAAACGCGTAGGCTTCCGGGTAGAACGGTGATGCCATTTTCAAATCTGAGAAATCATAGTCACCCTTTATATAACTACGTGACAAAAATCTTCGTCTGTCCGTACCCGTCGGCAAAAACCGGTCGCGGATCCACACCGGTTTCCATCGTTTTACGGAAATCGGCTAGATTTTTCACAATAGATATATTTTTAATAAATAAAAACTTTCCAAGTTGTAAGGCTTCATCCAAGGTGAATAGAACTGGCCAATATCCTGTCTGAAAACCTCGGAAACCCAGAAAAGGGGACTTTAGGGAGTTAAAATCTAAAACCTTTTCTTCAAGGGGGGCATGCCCCCGGACCCCCCAGAAGCTTGAGTCTTCGGCGCTCGTTTAGGAAATCGGTCAGATCCGCGCCTGGAAACGGTGTATCTTAAGGTCGCTATTATTGTAACACGTACTCTGTAAGGATTGTTGTAAGTCTGAGATGCTCTTTCACTGAAGTTAAACTGGTTTGTTAACTTGGATTCAGCTTTTCCTCCAACAGAAGCAGATGAGTCCGGTCGAACTTCTTCTGCCGCTTTCTCCTGAAACAGAATAGAGCCGAACCCTCAATAAACGACCATTAAAAAGGCTGAGTTTTACTTATCACTTACGAGAGATGCAATGGTCTCTTACTGTTTGCTGAAGTTAAAATCACTATTTTCATTTGCTTCGTACAATAATTTGGGGCAAAAATGTCCAAATTTGGTTTTTTGATCATTTTTCCTAGAAGGGGGTGCTTAATTCTTGCACGTGACTTGTTTTAGAGGAGAAGTATTAATTTTGTTTCAATAGTTTGCAATTCATTTCGAAGAAAAATATGGACGACACGGATCAGTGATTTCTTGTGGCGCTGCGCATAGTTCAATAGTGTAATCTTAAGGTGTGGATATTCAAATGAACACTGATTTGTGCTACCATTTCTTTTGCAGCATTTATCTCAAGATTCAATTTTGGGATAGCATGCTCATGGTCAATGACTTCCTTATTCAAATTTTTTAACCAATTAAAGAGTTAATTTAGCCTGAGAAAACGGCCGATATTTCGCGATACCACCACTGGTTTAATGACGACATGACGTATTAGGAACGAGCGCAGAATTTCCATACTGACGATGCGTCACTCCCAGATCTGAGAAGTGCTTCTGACAGTGAAAACTTGGATGACAGTGAAAACTTGAATGACCCATGCATTATATACATACAGGTAGTAATTACGACACCTGAAGGAGAATCATGAGGAAGATCACTCTTTAAATAGCCTGGAACAGGCTTCGCAGTAGGGAAAAACGACAAAAAATGGGGTCCACCTTTTCCCCTCCCCAGACTACCTCGCGCCTCGCTTCGCTTGCCGATTTTTTTTTTTCACCCGCGCCGATTTTCTTCTCCTTTTTTCCCCAATGCGGAGCCTGGTCCCGGACTATTAAACGATAACCCACCCAGCCCAGGAAAGGTTGGCCACACCACCGGGGTCTATGTCCCCTACTCTTTTCAAACAATGGTGTGGGTTATTACCACCCCACAAGAACCATATATTAAGTAAAAGAGTGAAAGTGCTGTGAGACGGGACCTATGATTTCCCTCCCTATTTGAAAAGACTAGAAAGTCTAACTGTTTCTAGATGTCATTACAAAGGCAGCAATTTCTTTTCAGTTATTTAAAGACCCAAAGTGTTGGTCCGGCAGGGATTTGAACACTCGACCTGAGCTAGACAGGCAGCAGTTCATATCAATATGGTCACATTAACAGGGTTTTAACTGTACTCCTTACACTGTAAGTAAATAAATCATCTGCGTAGTCTCCATACCCCAACATACATAAAAATAACACCTCACCTCGCCTGCAGGTTCTGGTTTATTTTCTTTCTCTTCCTCATCAGCAGCNTTCACTTCCTCTACAGCAGCTACATTAGTATCATTTTCATCAAAAGAATAAAAAAAAGCAGGATAGTTATGTACCACACTCCACTGCTTTGAGAATTCTTGGGGATAAGTGGGGGTTTAATGAAGGAGAATGGGTAACGTAAGGTGGCGGCAGATTGTGTTTTCATCCGGGGGGGGGGGGGGGGTACTTGGGTTACTTTTTGCTGGGTATGTGCCGTTGGCCTCTCAGAGCCCCTACCCCATTATAGTCTATTCTGTGGCCAATTATAGACCCCACCTTAGTCACTTTTGGGCAAATGTGTAATTTTCGCGATCCCAACTTAGTCACGTTCTATTTATGTATCTACCTTAGTTGAATGAAGAACACTTTACTTTTCACCTACAGTACAAACATTCTGGTACGTTTGTTAACCGTAAATATATAGAACTGTCCTCCCACCCTAGCCTGCGAATACGTCCGTCTCTCCTCGCTCTTCAAATGTCCCCAGCGACGAAGAGAGAGGAGAAACGGATGTTTTCGCAGGCTACTCCCACCCCAAAAACCCAAAAATTGCGACCCCATTCTAGTAACTCTGTCGAAAATGCGACCCATTATAATCACTCCAGTCGTGAAAATGCGACCCCATCCAGCGGCACATCCCCATTAGCCTATTATAACAAAGTACCCCGCCCCCGGGGTTTTCATTCTAATTTAGGGCGAGAGTGAATGCATTGTACCCAAGGCCAAGCACAAAGCACCCTCCTGGGTTCAAGTTCCAATCATTCTATGGTGTGTGACCACCCCCTTGCATGGCCCCATGCAACTGCTGATCTGAGCTGAGCGTCAAAATGTTTGCAGACTGGATTAAAGCACTATGCAATATGGGTAGAACACTCTTAAGCAACCACACCCATTTCTTAAGAAATTTAATTTCTGAAAGCCACAAAAATAGTGATCTCCAGACATTTGTAATCTGGAGAAACAGACATGGAAAACTGGAACGCACGTTTTTACACAGGATTCAAGGGAAATTTAACATGTTTTGTAATTTGCACCAAATCTGCAACCAACTCAAGTCAGTAAGCAGATTTTGTGAAGGAAAAAAATTTTCAACCTTGTTCAACTGAACAGCTTTTAAATACGAGGTGCAGACCATCAAAATTATTGTAATGGCAAAATAATCTTTGTCAGTGATGAAATACATGCAAAAATGCCCCAGAAACTAAACTATGAATAAAAAAGATTCAAATTTTGGGAGAAAATGGGATAAATTCCAAATTAAAGCACAGAAACGCTCATAACTTGATTTTATCCAGGAGATTTGGTGATCTGTAGACTCCTGAATAATCTGGGGGAGTTGGCATATATGTATTCTTAACTCAAAATGTACTGAACTAATTAGACATGTTAGTCCTCCTTCCCAGCCAAGGTCTACTCCCTGTGGTCTGACTTTCTCCCATCCATTTTGTATTTTTGTAAAATTAAGGCAATTTATAGCCCCTGGTGACTACAGAAATTATTTTTAGTGACCTTAAAGTGAAGTGTATGTGAAGATTAAAGGATAGAAACAGAAAAACAAGGTTTCACTAACAGACTCCAGTGAGTGCACGGCTGCGTACTGAATAGCTATAGCCACTTCCTGTTCTGTAAGCTGGAGATTTTTTTGAGCATAAAAATTTAATTTCTCATTTTTAAAAAAGGAAGAACACTATTTTACAGTTTTAAAAGTATTCCTTAAAAATATATTAATATTAACACTTAAAAGCCAGCTGGGGGAATCTCAAATTAATTTACAGGTGCGTTTCTTTATTAAAAATAAAAATCCAAATCTGGATTTTTAATGCAAAAATGAACATTTTGTTTCTTTACTAAAATCCAAAAATGGATTATTGATCCAAATGATCCACAACTGAGGTGAATTCTTTGGATCATATCCAAAACTGGATACTTTGGATACATGATCCGAAGTGATTCTTTACTACGGATCTGGAAAGAGTGAATACTGCCAGCGGTGACTTGAAACAATTTTAATACATTCATCTGCTGTTTGACCACACTGCTTATCTTAATGGCTATTTTTTAACCAAAGGCATGGATTAAATGGTCAACTTTGTCTACTTTATCGGGGTGGTAAAATTGCAATACAAACAGGACCTCTGTTGTCCTAGTTCGCAAGGACAAAACCGCTACACAACTTTGCCGGCATACCTTGCAAGACCTTACTTTTCCAGCACATACGCGCTGTATCATCACAGATTCATCTTCATTCGGCCAGTCTAAGACAGTATCCTTCAGCTAATCGTCCAAAATACAATGAAAGTTCAGCAAGCTTTCAACACTGTCAGCAGCTGTGTTACTCTTTCTCTAAAATACTGTCGACATTGTGGGTCGTTTCTATCGAAATGGATGAAAAACCATCCTTTTTTGGAATGATACATCGTTTCTTTTCTTGATGAAAAATCCTAATGATGTGGATTTTTGATCTGATCTTAGATTTTAGTAAAGAAACAGACCCTACAATCTTGTGCAAGAGGCATCACAACTTTAGTTATTTATTGTCGTTGAATTATATTTATCATGCAAAAAGTTTATGTACTTGAGAAACACTGTCCTCACAAAAAGAGCATTTGAAATCTCATACATGTAAAAAGAGCTCAGTTAACCCTCAGTATAATTTATAACTTGACAAATCTTAAATTTTAAGTTTGTAAGTAAAAAATATTTTCCAACCTAACATTCAATAATCAGATATGTCTATTTAAAATATATACTTGAATGAATGACCTAACCAAGAACTTGCTGAGGACAGGCTAGGGCACTGCTTAGACTAAAAAATAATCCCTGGGGGAATAAATAAATATCTCAAACTAGTAAAGACAAGTTAAACGCTCATTCCAAAAAGCACTGGAAAAGAAACTTATCTTTGTACAACACTGATACACCGTCAAATAGCTTTACATATTGTTCTACATTTCCTACAAATACACACTACAATATACCTTCTTCATGTCCTTGCCGAGCACGCTGTCTTCTGGCTTCATCTGAGTCTTTATGAAGCATATTCCTGTGCAAAAAAGAACAAACCAACAAGTTACAGATGTACATTCATTTACAAAATATGTCACATTAAGCACAACAGGGTCCCATCAGCCATTACTCTAACTATGTGTTTTTGTCATAAAAAATGTGAAAGGAGAACTTCCTATCATTTTATTTGTAACAGACTGTATTATTTTTAAAAGAAGTATTTTATCATGAGTATTCTCTCACCCATCAAGTGCAAAGTGAATTGCCAACTGGTCTACACTTGAAGTTGCTTTGTAACATTTTTCCTGAAAGAAAGATCAAAATTAAAATTAATTATGAAAATCAATTTTAAGTCACATTTTCTTATATCAAAAATGATAATAAAAAGTAAAATAAACCAAATAAAGATCAAACAAGAACTTTTAAGTGCATTCAAATTAACAAGGGTACACCAGGAATATTTTGTTAGATGTGTTTGGGAATCTCTTATGCTTGTAAATGTATATATCACTTTTTTGGGGTGACCTAAGTGATCACCACGTGTGGAGAATCAGTGACAGGTTTCTGAAAGAAACAATCTTCCAATTTAACATGCTTTTGTCAACTACCAACATTATCATGTACTGAATCTTTTTAACTGATTAAAATTAAACCGAATATTTTGAAATTTTTGCTCTTGTTTGATGCTCACAATATGAATGTCTAAGGCTCAGTACTTCAAAAGCTGCATATTTAGGGAAAGAATCCATCATTTTGTCCTCTGACAGCTTTTAAAATGAATTCAACGGAGCTTGGGTAAGAGAACAAGAGACTACAAATGTACATCAACTCTGTATATACATATGGTACATATCCTTTTAGCAAAGTAATAACAGGAAATGTCTGCCGAGAATATGGAAAAGGTCATCTAATCTGCTATACTACTCAACTGTCGTCTGTTGGATTAATCTTAATTCAGCAGATTTGGTAGGTATAAATACATTTTTGACCAGATTATAGAAAAGATAAGTGATATAAAAATAACAAGGACAAGTTTTTTATTTGTCATTTTTATTTAATACTTAGAGCAGTAAGAATGAAGGAAACTACTGTAAAAACATCATTCATAATGATTAAACCACTTTTTTGTCTGGTGGTCATATGTTAATGACGTATAGGTAACATCCATTTTCAGGTTAAAACAGTGTTCAATCTTGTTTGATTTAAGGTTTCCTTTTATTGCCTAGCTCTAAATACATAGGAGACAGCAAAAATTCTGGTTTAACCCGAGAATAAATTTTACCAACAACAGCTATGTCTACCATACCCTCACTTATGATCTAAGGCAATAACTAAATTAATACTATAGTTATAAGAAACCCTTATGACTTTGATCATCTTGTTTGTCTTTCTTATTTGGACACTCTTAAAGAAATCAAAGACAAATCAAAGGTTTTTAATGTAGTAATAATGTAATACACGTGCACAGTGATGACCAATATTAGAAACTTATGTTTAAAACACACAGTTATGAACTGAATAAAGTTTCAGTTACCTTGAAGCTGTAGCGGACAATATTGCTTGGGGCATGAGGGTTATTTGCAGTCAAGATTCTAGTAAACTCTACTTTCAGCTCTTCATCAGTTAGTTCAAGTTGGTCATCTGGCTTGATGAGCTGTTTTGGCTGCAACACAATAAAATACAACACACTACATTAAATATTACACTCTTAAACCCCTTACATCAATATACATATCAGTGCGCCACACCACAGCCATTTAAGCATGGCAAGTAGAACGTCGCTAATCTTAAAACAATTAATTTATGTTACATTAATTTTGATACATATACATATGTGCTGTATTGATTTATGGGTAAAGACAATATTATTATTATCATTATTACCATTATTATTATTATTATTATTATCAAAATTAATATTATAATATTATTAAAAATAGCAGTGAAAGTCACATCATATTAGTGATACGTACGTGAATGGTCACCCTAGGTTACAGTAAGTATGTTAAAAGGTTATGAAGACAAGACCCTCATAGCGGGGGTTCATTGGGCTGCATAGTGCATGTTTTTAAGCCGAGGCTGTATAGCGACTTCCACCATCATGAATGAAAATAGGCCAGTTAATATTATGAAACAAGAAATGATTGGTATTATTTTCAACTGGGACATTTCCATAATGCACCCCCTCTACGCCCCAAATATAGCATGACAGTATAACGTGACTTATTTGATCTAACCAAAAATTCCAAAAATTATTTTTCAATGTACTCTTATAAAAACATGACAGGGTCTGATGTTTTAAATACTGTTATATAACAGTAATATTCTGTTCCTTAAAACTCGCAAACTGTTGGATATTGTATTTAAAGCCCTTCTAACAATCCATGGCAAGTGAATATGTTTCTGTTTGTGAAAACAAAGAAAGATGGTAAATTTTAAGCTTGGTGAAGAAATGAGAAATGGTATGATCAACATAACACAAGCATGGAACAAAGAAAAAATCTGAGTCCCAACAGGAATTGAACTTATGACCTTCCGTAAACCAGTTGGATGCTCTAACCACTGAGCTACGAAGGACTCATGGCGAGCTCAGGCCAAATACAAGGTTCATGTATTACATGCGTCCTCCATACTGCTAGGATCAGCAATGTTGAAAACGTCATGTTTGTGGTAAATAAAGAAAGATGGTAACTTTTAAGCTTGGTGAAGAAATGCGAAAATTATGGTGTGATCAACAAGTCATGAGCATGGGACAAAGAAAAAATCAGAGTCCACGATCTACAAATAGCATATTCCTGGCCTCTCATGTGAGGAAAGACTTTTCATACACAGAGAGAGAATTGCTACAAGTTGAAGCTTTTCCCATCAGGACCGTGGGAGGGCCGCTTGTTTCTGAGGCTCCTGCACAGGATAACTACATCACTGAATACTGTATTTAGATAATCATTCCGTGTAGATCTATATAGCGCCAATAACTCCACACAATAATTTTGTGTTCATTCGAAATCAATTTCCAAGTCTGTTCACCAGACGAACTGAAATGACCCATCCCCTACCCGCAAAAATCGGCCCTATTGAAGGGGGAATGGGACAGGCAAAGCCTCCTGGGAGTTCTGTCTGCCATTTCGTCTTTTTTTGACATAGTCAAAGGTATTTCTTGATTGGGTGTTGCCCTCAGAAGGGATTGGAAATTCCTGGGGGGATGGGGGGTTCTCAAAGGCTCAAAAATTTAAGTCAATGTATGAAGCTTGACTGGAATTGCCAGAGAGGTGGGGGCCCTAAGGAAAACTCCCTTCAGTGGGAGAGGTATGGATAATTTTTGGAACCACACAATATATGATTATTAAATCCTCTTTTGTTTCAGTAAAAACATATTAATTAAGTAGTCATATAAAACAAAAAATATTCACACCATTTAGTCAACCAATGATTTTCCTTATATGTGCAATTATATGGGATCGACACTCAGTGTGAAATGTAAAATTTGATTACAAGAAAAGTGGACAAAATGTGTAAATCAATGACACAAACTAACAACTTTAGAAAAGATGGTTGCAGATGATCGTTCTTTTGGACTCTGTTTAAAAATAAATAAATCTTTTTCAATTCTAGAAACAATCATTACTACAGGTATTTTCATGAAAAAGTTGAAATTTATTTATTCTACCTGCATCCACTCATCCAGATCATCCCCAACCTGTGTTGCATCATCATCCTCCTAAAAAGGTCATTCAGATATTCTTTAATACTAAGTTCAAGTATTAAAAAACTGAGTTCAAGTAATCTTGCCCCTTTATATCACTTGTTTTTCCCCCTTTGGACGTAACATTATAATACCCCGTGCAGCAGTATCCCGCATATTATTATACTCATTTTTGTCCCCATGGTCATCATGCGGATAGCTATTTTCCATTACATTTATAGTAATACCATATTGATTAGATTAAGCACCCTACCTCAAATTAGCACTCATCTCAAATAAGCACCCATCCCTTTTGTAAGGGGGAAAAGTTAATTTAGCATACAGCCTCGAATAAGTACCAATGCCAACCCACCACCCTTCCCTCCAAAAAAACTGAAGTGGACAAGAAGAGTACATTGGTTATTATTAAATTTTCTTTACTGCCCTATCTGTTTCTCTTTGACTGACCCATTTTAAGACATTACACTGTGAGACATCTACATTGTACTAGGCAACATCAGAGAGTTCGCTCTGGCACATCCCCAGGTTTTGCTATTATTTACAGTTTTGTTGGAAAAGTAACTAACTACTTGCTGAAAATATTGAAAATTAAATATTAGCACCCAGCCTAAACTCTTCAGCCCCCTCTCTCAAGGCCTAAAAATTTCATAAGCACTCAGGATGCCTGATTGAATCAATATGGTATTCTTCTCTTGAGACAGGTCATTGGATGGCAAGGTTCCAAATAACAGCTATACAGGAGAGCAGTAGAAGCATCTTGAACTATATTGTTTCTCCAGCCCCCTATGACCCCTTCCATTTAACTACAGAACTCTTGTGTTCCCTCAGGATAGCAACCCACTAGTAGTGACAGATACATGTACCTTTTTCTTGGCTTTTGTAGCGGCAGTTTTGCTGGTTGACTTCACAGGTGCATTTGAAGCAGTAACTCCAGGCTTCTTCTCCTAGCAAAAAAAAATTTTAAAACGAATAATACAAGTGCAATATTTTTCATCAGAATTTATGCAGGCACTGAGGGAGTGAATTTTAAAAAATGATGGGTATATTTTGTTTCCAAGTTCAAGGTGCTTGCATAACAGCCTCACTAATAGCCTCACCGGTCATTTCAATACAAGTCTCATCAATAATCAGCTGAGATTGAAATAGCTTTGCTTAGTTGGCTTATAAGATGAGGAGTATTCACGATATGTGTTTTTCTTGTTTCTTGAATTTGATTTAAAATACTTTAAAGTTTCACTGTGAAAGTTTGCACTGAAACAACTTTCTATCAAAACACACAATTTCTTTACCGATGATCCCAAGGAATTCATTCCAGGGGATACTCTACCAGCAGGTGCATTAGTGCAGGTATATTACTTGTAACACTAATGAATGGTTTGAGTACTAGATTTTGATAATGCAGTTAGAGCGGTTTTCACTTGACTGTCGTAAAACCAAAACCAAAGTAAATACACTAGCCAACCAAAGGGCGTAGTAAAACCAAAACCAAACCAATTCCTCAATTACTTTCGACAGTCAAGTGAAAACCGCTCTATTACAAGATTTGGCTAGTTTTAGTATCACTTCCCAGTCACTGGTTTTTAACTAAGCACTGTCCTTGCTGGTGGACAAAACAATCTTTATCAAGAAAGAGATTAGTCTTATGTCCACTAGCATGACTGCCATGACATATCAGCTGAAAATCAGCGGAGATACAAAATTTCTTTTCGAGTGTTCAAAAATATTTCACCAGTAAGCTCAGCAAACAAGTGAAATATTTTTTCAACGCGAGAAGAGAAATTTCGTATCTCCAAGTGGCCATGTAATGTTCTATTTATTATATAAACACCAAAGAACTACCAAACCATTCCACTTTTAATTAATATTTTTTTTGGTGTGAAAGGTGTGATTTATTATGCAGTCATAACAACGGTGACACTTTCACATGTGAGGATAACATGTTGTTTTCACATGTGAAGATATCAAGTTTTCGCGAGAAAGCTCACCTGGTATTCCATTGGTGTTTATATAATAAATATGCATTATTCACTGTCTGTGCCAGTTATAGAACAATGCTCTAAAAATCATTTTGTAAACACTTGAATGTAGAATGAGCTTAAAAATATTATCGTTGGTCTTAAGTACAGAATTATACAGGGCAAATTTTCTAGGTACATACATTGATGTGGCTTGGCAGCTCGGAGGCTCGGCAGTCACAACTGACCAGCCACCAAGCCATCAAGCCACTAAACCATATAATCTCGACTGACCAGCCATCGAGCCACTAAGATATTTACCTTGACNGCGGTTTTCACTTGACTGTCGTAAAACCAAAACCAAAGTAAATACACTAGCCAACCAAAGGGCGTAGTAAAACCAAAACCAAACCAATTCCTCAATTACTTTCGACAGTCAAGTGAAAACCGCTCTATTACAAGATTTGGCTAGTTTTAGTATCACTTCCCAGTCACTGGTTTTTAACTAAGCACTGTCCTTGCTGGTGGACAAAACAATCTTTATCAAGAAAGAGATTAGTCTTATGTCCACTAGCATGACTGCCATGACATATCAGCTGAAAATCAGCGGAGATACAAAATTTCTTTTCGAGTGTTCAAAAATATTTCACCAGTAAGCTCAGCAAACAAGTGAAATATTTTTTCAACGCGAGAAGAGAAATTTCGTATCTCCAAGTGGCCATGTAATGTTCTATTTATTATATAAACACCAAAGAACTACCAAACCATTCCACTTTTAATTAATATTTTTTTTGGTGTGAAAGGTGTGATTTATTATGCAGTCATAACAACGGTGACACTTTCACATGTGAGGATAACATGTTGTTTTCACATGTGAAGATATCAAGTTTTCGCGAGAAAGCTCACCTGGTATTCCATTGGTGTTTATATAATAAATATGCATTATTCACTGTCTGTGCCAGTTATAGAACAATGCTCTAAAAATCATTTTGTAAACACTTGAATGTAGAATGAGCTTAAAAATATTATCGTTGGTCTTAAGTACAGAATTATACAGGGCAAATTTTCTAGGTACATACATTGATGTGGCTTGGCAGCTCGGAGGCTCGGCAGTCACAACTGACCAGCCACCAAGCCATCAAGCCACTAAACCATATAATCTCGACTGACCAGCCATCGAGCCACTAAGATATTTACCTTGACTTAACTTGTTCTGTAAACTTTATATTTAAACGTTTTATTTTACGTCTGTCTCATACTTAAATGTTTTATATCTTTCTCATTCTTTAAACACATGTCATGACTAGTGAGCCACCGAGCCACTTCTGCTTAAGACCTTGCAATATGGCCCTGTTTTCTGTAGTTGCTCACATGGACGTGTTTTGGCTCATTCCTATGCTGGAAAAATTTTCCTGCATATGACAATGTCATTATGGCACTTTATGATTTTATTGTTTTTCTTATGGAAAATATTTCAATAAATGCTTTGGAGTAAGGCAGTAACTAGAATACACTCGCACAGACATCACCGTTCCGTCATTTAAAGACACCTTTTAAATAAAGGTTGCAAGAAAACAAACATGGCGGACACCAAATTGCAGTAATTGTTACTCAGACAGAGATGATTATCTTCCCGGAAAGAAGGAGAAAACTTACCGCCTTTCCAGCCTTTACATTTAATTTCTTCATTTCTTCGTAGAATTCGATTGATTTATTGCGTTTTTTGCCTCTTAACTGAGGAAAAATGTCACCACAAACTGCACATCAGAGAAGCTCTCTTCAAAAAGCTTGACAAGTAGCAGTTCGTGTTTCCCTGGTAACAGGCATAGGCTACCAAGCTACAGGCATGGTTACAAAGCCGAAAAGATGGCGACCAACTCTGACACTGATGACAGTGATGGTATGAACAACAGTGACGATGAATATTTAGACGCAACGAAGAAATCGTGGACCGATTCAAAAGGTCCTTCAAGACCAAATGAAGGTATCAAAGAAAAGTTGAGGAGAAAATTTTGCCTCTTGTCGTATGGTAATTTTTTGCTCCAGACGAGGTTAGCACTTGACAGGCAAACGGCCAATGACAAAGCACAGGATATCAACGACGAGGGTCATTACGCAGATGATAAAAGTTATTTGCAAGGAGAATTTTACAGGAATCAGGAGAGTGATGAAGATGTGGGTTTTGCAGGTGACCTTGCTCAGGAATTCAATCTTATACCTTCAGACAGTGTCGGTGACCAGATGACTCTGAGAACCTTCACAAATATAAACAATGAACTGGGGATACGGGTTGTTCCGAGTGAGCGATTTGTTCGTGAAATAACAGATAAAAAAACAGAAGAAGAAGTAGATGATTAATATATTATTTTAAATGCCTCTTACGGTACCTTGCCCTGAGTGGTGTAACGCTAGATCGCTAAACTTTTACCCCATGCCGGAGGGTGGAGGGCGTGGTTGGCCCAGGAAACTTTAAGAAGNAAACTTACCGCCTTTCCAGCCTTTACATTTAATTTCTTCATTTCTTCGTAGAATTCGATTGATTTATTGCGTTTTTTGCCTCTTAACTGAGGAAAAATGTCACCACAAACTGCACATCAGAGAAGCTCTCTTCAAAAAGCTTGACAAGTAGCAGTTCGTGTTTCCCTGGTAACAGGCATAGGCTACCAAGCTACAGGCATGGTTACAAAGCCGAAAAGATGGCGACCAACTCTGACACTGATGACAGTGATGGTATGAACAACAGTGACGATGAATATTTAGACGCAACGAAGAAATCGTGGACCGATTCAAAAGGTCCTTCAAGACCAAATGAAGGTATCAAAGAAAAGTTGAGGAGAAAATTTTGCCTCTTGTCGTATGGTAATTTTTTGCTCCAGACGAGGTTAGCACTTGACAGGCAAACGGCCAATGACAAAGCACAGGATATCAACGACGAGGGTCATTACGCAGATGATAAAAGTTATTTGCAAGGAGAATTTTACAGGAATCAGGAGAGTGATGAAGATGTGGGTTTTGCAGGTGACCTTGCTCAGGAATTCAATCTTATACCTTCAGACAGTGTCGGTGACCAGATGACTCTGAGAACCTTCACAAATATAAACAATGAACTGGGGATACGGGTTGTTCCGAGTGAGCGATTTGTTCGTGAAATAACAGATAAAAAAACAGAAGAAGAAGTAGATGATTAATATATTATTTTAAATGCCTCTTACGGTACCTTGCCCTGAGTGGTGTAACGCTAGATCGCTAAACTTTTACCCCATGCCGGAGGGTGGAGGGCGTGGTTGGCCCAGGAAACTTTAAGAAGGTGTGCGCCAGTGGAACTCTGGAACCTTTACCCTATACCATACTATACTGATTGCTAGAGAATTTTCATGCACAGTTTTTCCTTTTGCAGTCAACTTTTTATAGTGGCACATGGCTTGGCAGCTTGTTGGTTTGGCCTCTAACCAAAAAGCCTGCCTAGTAGGCACTAGTTTGTTTTTTAGCATGAAGGAAGAAATCTCGAGGACGGGTTAGGGGAGAAAAGGAGTGCTGGTGCCTGCTGCGAAGACCCTGGTTTTCCATTTACGCCCTCAATTTAATAACGTGACAGCGCTGCATCCACTGACGAAAAATTGATTGAAAGCAGATTGTATAGCGGCATGAGACCAACATCAGACCCAAAGGGAAAAATTGCCTTGTGAATTTTTATTTTATCTGCATAGAGAAAATGATGTAATGAGCAAACATGACAAATGCTGCTACATTTATGTTGATCAATGATGTGGATTTTAGTGAAATTCATCGATTCATCAATTCATTCATCCATCGACACTTCAGCTGACACGTACGATGATATACTTTCCTTGCTGTTTTTCTTTTAAACAGTCCAAACAGTCAGTCACAGACTGACATTCATCTAGAAGTGCACAGCGCCCCTCGAGCAAAAACAGGGGAAAAAGTTGTTCTTTTCTATAACGTACAGTTACAAAAGCTACAGTCCAAAG